CGCCGCAGCCGGGGCCTGAGCTCGGAGACGGCGCCTTCTCCACGGAAAAGCTCTCGGGAGTCCTCCTCCTGCCCTCCTCGGCGGCTCTTTCCAAAGCCTTCCGGATGCGACCCCCCCTGAGCCACCACCCTCCGGCTCCCTCCGGTCCCCAGCCTGGCCCGTCCACCGAGTGCTCCCCTCGAAGAACTTCACCGCCCCTCCGCAGGGGCCACGTTAAAAATTGCCTCTCCTTCCTGCCCCAAGCTGTGCTGTGCCCGGCACATCACAAGATCGTGGTCTACTCAGGAAAACGTCCCTGTGAGTCCTGTGCCGTGTGCTTCTCCACGGGAGCGCCTTTCTGTATGGGCTCCCGGAAAGGAAAACCGCGTGGAAGCCCCCATAAAAGGTAACAGAAATACCCCCACAAGAACCGATGTTAAGTAATGAGGGCAGAGTTCTGGAGACCACGCGTCTTTCTGAGCATGCTCTCTGCATTCCGTCCCATGCTAACGACAGTCCTTTGATGTAGGTGCCACTGTCCCCAGTTTAGGCCCAGGGAGGCGGGGCGCTTTGCCCAAAGTCAGGCACCTGAGGAGGTGGCGTGAGTCAGAAACCCCAAGCCCTACACCGGGCTGTGGGCTGGCTCCATCTTCACTCATTGCGAATACAAACCCAGCGACCACACAGTAGAGTCTTGTAAGATAACTGCATCCATCAGCGTGAAGAGTAGGGTAAGGCCTGGACTGACGGTGAAAGCGAAGTGCAGGTGGAAGAGAACAAAGAGTGGGGAAGAGATGAGGATCGGGGACAATCAAGGGGCAGGAAGTAAGAGGAAGGGAAAGAACCAGATTTCTGCTAAATGGAGGACTGTGAAGTCCACGGGCCCCTGAGTCTTCCCAATTCCTCTCTCTGAGTCCCTGGGTCTTCTCAGTTCCTCCCTATCTCCTAGCAGAGGGTATTTATTCCAGAGATCTTTCTCCTGGCCAGGAGGCGGTCATCAGACCTGGGTTTTTTGGGCCAAAAAGCAGAACCCAACTCCCCGTTCCGCTGTACACAGTGAAGGCAACTGATGGTGTGGTGGGGTCGGCACATGACAGTGCCTTCCAGTGCTTCCACTAATAGGCTTTCTGGAGATGGCTTCCATTGCTTGAGAAAAGGAGAATTTCTCTTGCAGATAACTGGTATCAGCACAAATCAGCGGCTGTGAAGTCCAGCCTCACAGAGGGGCTGGGGATCGTTCCTACCATGCTTCCTCGATCTCGCACTCCAGTCGAGAGGCCCCTCCGGTGCGCCACGCGGTATCAGTCCTCTGCCCCACCGAGGAGGGGTCATGAACTGCCAAAGAGCTGGAATCACAGTGGCACGCACTTAATGTGCTTTCTTTACATTATGTGCCCAGCCAGTCCTCCCTCCACTCCCTTCCAGAGGGGTCGAAATACCCGGAGTAGCTGCCCGATTCTCCTTCCCATTTGGAGAGCACTAGATGGAGTTGGCCTCGGGGACTTTCCTTGTCCAAGCTTCCACTGCCGCCCATTATCTGTGACTGACAGCGTTGGTGCATTCAGTCTGTCTTCATCCAGGCGCACACGCTGCTCTAACACTTTAAGACTGTGCTCAACTCAACCTTGGTTCCATATACATTGGGATTTCACTCAACAAAGGTGAAGTTGTTCCTTAGCCCACCACAGTCTTCCAGCACTGCAAGTTACAATTCCGTCTTTTTTCTCAGATCTCTATCTACAGGTGTTTTATGTAGATCTGCATGAGTATCCATAAGATATACATCAGACAAGTATATAGAAAATAATTCTTAACCCATTCCTAGAAACAGGATTCCTTCAGATATCTTCACCTAACAACCTCCAATTATGGGTCTCTATGATTCTCCCACTCACTCTTTACCCTTCAAACAAATCAGAGAAAAATGAAAGGTGTTTTCTCCTTTCCTCTTAGCTCGATGGCTCATCAGCCCTAGGACCTAAGCCATTAGTAAATGAAGCCTGGTGCCTCTTCCTGAAATACTCCAGCCCTTCCAGAAAGTGTCTTTTATCCTTCTCCTGCAGTAAATAAAAGGGGGAAATGAGATTCTGTAGTAAGAAAAAAAACTCAATATCTTGCTACATATATATTTTAAATTTTGCTGAGATGATATATTATACATACTTTTGTTCCCTGTTTTATTTATTTAACATTACGGTTTGAATTTTTTCATATCATCAAATCCAAGCATTGTGTTTACCAGTTCCATAATTGACCATTTCATATTATAACTGTTCCTTCACCGATCCTGTCTCCAATCCAGTGGTCTCTAATGCACACAAGACCACCTGATGGACCTGGGATGGAACTTGCTTGGCATGTATGAGGCTCTGTGATCCATCTCAAGCACCACAAAATATAAAATAAAGACTATCATATAAGGAAGTAGCAAATGATAACTTGGTCTCTAATTATTCTGAATAAACACTGATAAAATTTTACTAGTTTGTGGGGTGGTTGTTTTTATTTTTTGTGGGCTCTTTTGGTACCAGGGATTGAACTCAGGACCTTGAACTTGCCAGGCAGGCATGGCGACCCTGAGTTAAATCCCTGGCCCTGTTTTTGTTTTTTGAGACAGGGTCTATTTAGTCCAGGTTAGCCTTGAACTCACTGTGTAGTCCAAGCAGGCCTCAAACTCAGAGCAATCCTCCTGCCTCAGCCTCCAAGTGTTGGAATTATAGGTATGTGCCTCCATACCCAGTTTCTAGCTAGCTTTTGAAAAGGACGATCTTTTTTATCATTTGTCTGTGGGGGGGGTGGTACTGGGGATTAAACCCAGGGCCTTGTACGTGCTAGGTAAGCACACTGCCACTGAGCTACACCCCTAGGCTAAAGGCACAGTCTTAATCTCAGACTCAACAACATCTGCCAAAGTAAGGATTATTTGAAGGCTATCACCCTACTTTTACTAGGGTGCTTTTTGTTTTGTTTTTTAAAGCAAGATTTCATTGTGTAGTCCCAGTTAGCCTCAAATTTGTGACCCTCCTGCCTCAGCCTCCCAATCCCTGGGGTTACAGATGCACCCCACCCTGCCCAGCTGAAGTACTCTTTAATCCCCTGACCTACTCAGAGCTGAGTACCAGAGGCACATCCTGTTGGCCAGTCACCATGGTTTGGTATCGAGCCATGAAGCTCTACTGTAACAAATACTCAGACAAAGGCTGCCTTTGCCAAAAGCGCTGACTCTTCACCTGGGTCTACAGATGTCCAGTGCGTAACTCAAAAGAGAACACAAGCCAGCATCTCTTCCTTCATTTTGTATCTGTTTCCTGCGCTACCTTGAGCCTTGAGCAAAGCTGGTAATACTCCTCCTTTTAGGGCTGAAAGCACCAAGGTAAGAACTAAGGGATTTTCAATATTTGCAGGGGCATCATCGTGAACATATTGTCAGCTGCCAGCTTTTACAATGTCCTGCTGCAGACCAAGTGGTACATAAGATCCCAGCCACTGCCCTACACCTGAGGAAACACAAGCCATCTCTCTTCTTGGACACATCCTTTTCTCTGATGGGTCATTCTGTCCTGCAGTCATCCTGGATCCCAGGAACAACAGGTCTCAGGACCCCTGAAGATAGGGCTAAAGATGCTTAATCTCCCTGGTCTTCTCAAGACTGCTCTGCTGAGTAAATGCCTTTCTTCACCATTGCTTCTTTCAGAATGTGTGGCTGTACCTGGAACGTTAAGACCCACTGAAGTCAGCAACCTCCAGCCTAGGACTCCAGCGACCGCCCAAGAAATGCTAGATGTCTCCACCCACTTAGACACCTTCCATCTGTGTGTCCTTGAGAAAGTTACTCACTTGATCTACCACGGTACCACCCTGAATACACCCAATTTTGGTTGCTCTCAGAAGTTAAGCAGAGTCTGGCTACTACTCATCTGCCCTCTACTTCAGTCTCCTTCTCCTCCTCCCTCAGACACATTATTTTTTGTCACTAGTCCTCTGCTGAGAGAAAGTCAGGGTACAGGGGCTTGAGAGGAGTATTAGTCACAGAGTATGGTGGAAAAGAATAGCAATATCTTCGTCAGCACTGCTCAAGATTAAATGGCAAAGTGCATGTAATGACCCCAGACTTATGGCTAGGTCGCAGGTCGGGGTATACAAAATTTTTCAAAATAATTAAAAAGAACGCATTGCAGGCCAGGGATTTAGCTCAGTGGCAACAGATGTGCCTTGAAAGTGCTAGGTCTTGAGTTAGATCTCCCGAACCAAAACAGCATCTCAGACATTCTCCTGTTGTTGGTATAGAATTTGCTCCAGGTGAAATCACTGGGTCAAAGAGTATGACTGTTTCAAAAGCTGGGTGCTAATTTCCATGTCAACTGGAGTGAAAGTGAGCTCCAGCTTTAGCATGTCTTTACCAAGGTCAAATACTTGTACTTTAAAAATGCCTTGCTAATTTGACAGGTGAAAAAAGACTGTCACTTGTCATCTCACTGTCCATTCTGTTGGTAACTCATGATACTGAAACCTTTGACCAAAACCACTATGTTTATTCATTTATTTATTTGTACCGGGGATCAAACTGAGAAACAACTTGCGCTTGGGGGGCAGGCATGGTGACACTGAGCTAAATCCCCAGTCCACTACATTTATTTATTACTTATATTTTCTCTCTCTCTCTCTCTCTCTCTCTCTCTCTCTCCACCTTTTGCAA